GCGGCGGCCGCGCTACGGGGATTTCGCGCCCGTGGCGATCGGCCCTCGCCTGCTCTCTGCGCGCGGGGAGCCGGCCGGGGCCCAGACCAGGGGGCCCAGCGCCCCCCTTCGCGCTGCGGTGTCAAGGGTCAAATGTCTGGGATCCTAACTGCGCCGCCCCGCCCGGCCCCGCCCGCGCATGGGGCTTGTGCCAATCACCCCCTGGCAAATCCGGCCTCGCGCCAGGGCCCGTGATCCATGGCTGGGGCCCTAGGCGCTTTCCGTAGCAGTAATTACCGCAGCTGCCCTGCTAGCTGCTCTGCTCTGACCCGTCCAGTATCCCGTCCGCAACAGGGGACAGCTTGCGCGGAGCCCTGCCGCGGGCGTGGGATAACCTGCGCCCAGAGAAGGTTCTTCCTGATTGCGCTCTCCCCCATTTAGAGGTTAGCTTCTGCCATAAAGCGTGTAGATTTATATCCCTGCCCAAACTCTTGTTTGTTCTCTTAACGTTTACTATTATAATTCTAGGTAGTCTTGTCATCTCTGTAGGTCCCTAATTATTGTCAGAATCCTAAAACGTTTTTGTCTCTGTTCTGTGCCGTAACAATGTAACCACTGGTGCTGCTGTTAACACCTGCTGTTTCAGAGTGCCTAATCTGATGGGGTAATGTGTAATCCCGCTCAACTGGCATCTCGAACTCCTCCCTCTTTAATGAACAGGAGGCTGGTAGATCTCCTTAACCAGTAGATTTCTAAAAGAAACAAAAATTGTACACATATAAATACAGAATTTAGGTGCACCAAATGCTGTAGGCTTTATCAGGAACTTTACATTTAAAGGGTTAAATAACTGTCAGTTCAAATAGGAAAACTTTAATAGCAAACAGTTCAGTATTTTACCTTTTTCCTTTTTAAAATTTTTTTTAATTAAATGTTACTTGTAAAATTGTACCATGAATTATCTTTCACTGTCATCCTTGCCATTGGTCACTATTTCACATAGCTCATGTGGGAATTTATTGTAAATGACTAATAGCTTGGAGCTAGTAATATTTGTAAAATAAAAAAGTTGACTTTTTCTTATTAGAAATTATAGCCTGTCTAGATGCATTTTTGGTTTTATTCTAATACATAAGCAAGGCTTGAAAGTTTCTGGAGGGTCTGTTCAGAAAATCTTTTCTTTTCAAACCAAAAAAACTCCATTCTTGATTACTGGATGATTGGAATATTAATAGGATTCGGACATAAGTATTAATGGAGATGAGATACAGGTACACTGGAGAGAAACCTTCCCTAATTCCTACTGCACAGATGTGGTTTTTCCGTATATCTTCCATAGACAGAACATACACATCCCAGTGCTGTGATTTGTTGTTTCCAAAGTGGACAGTTTGAAAGGGAACTCCCCACCACCCAAGCCTTGCTAAATACATCATTAATGTTTATGATTTGTAAGGGGGTGCTGCCAACTTGGAATCTGATCTGTTTCAAAAAATATGTTAAAAGTTGTTTCAGATGCTTATCTGCCCCTGAATCTCCCAGCAAATGTTTGTAGCTTACAGTCACATGTTCCCTTGTTATGGGGTTTTTTAATGTTTCTGTCCATATTGTCCTGTGAAATCTCGCACAAGCAGTGTGAAAATGAGGGCCTCATTCTTCTAAGCTGAACATCTGGACTTGACTTGGTAGGGCCAGGGGTGCAGCTATGCAGGTCATCTTTCAAGATTTGGGGCCTAAATGGGAGACTATCATGAAGTGCTGTCAAATGGGCAAAATAAACTGAAAAAAGAATAGTTTTTCTAATCTTTCAGATATAATAATCTTAATTGTTACTTGCAATAACAATGGGTAAATTTCATATTGGTCTATGTGTGATTTTTTATTGGTGTCCCTTATGGTTTATTTTACTTTGGTTTCGGCCTTTTGAAAGGTTTTGAGATGAGAATGGGATATCTTACTACCCCACTCTGCAAACATGTGCATAAATAGTCCCATTAGCTTCACTGAGACTGCTCACATGATTACAGTTGCTTACATGTGCAGGCCTGGGCTCTTAGTTTGTCCACGCATCTTTAAACAAAATAAACTTTGATCACATTAAACACAACCTCAAAATGTTGACTATGTCTGAGAAATTGATTCTCTTCAGGCTCCATTGTACAGTGCTGGGCTTAGTTTACTTGATTCATGGTAGTGAGGAAAATGTGTGAAATGTGGAAGAATATTTAATTATTGTTTTTTCTTTTTCATTGTAAGGTACTGGCAGAGGAGGATGGGGTGCCCATAACCAGAGATACACCAATGTTGTCCAGCCTTCTAATTTCTCTAAACCCACTACATGGGGTGGCAGCAGAGATGACGGAAAGGCATTTTTTGGACCCTCTATTGACTCTGGAGGTGGCAATAAAAGTTCAGGATTTTCTCAAAACAGATTCTCTGCATTAAGCTCTGAGCAAAATATTGGCAATAGCTACAGAGATGAAGAGGAGAAGCTTCTGTAAGTCCTTGTTCTGTCTTTGAGCATCTAGAAAGTATTTAGAAAAATGAATTCTAAAAGTGTAGATTTGTATGGAGGCACTTGTTGAGTGTATTATGTAATTTCCCCATAATTAAGTCTAAAGAGGCTTCTAATGCATAAATATTTATTATCCATTATAGATCACTTGTTAATATGAATGTCTTCACTAGGGGGTAATAAAGAAGTGTGTTTGTAGTGAAATTAAATTTCATGGAACTTCAGTAGAGCTGGAAGGAAAACCTCAGTGAACCTTACATTAAAATGCACACAGACAGTCTTTATGCATTTAAGATACTCTTTTAATAATTTGCATTTCTCTTTAAAGGTGATCTGAAAAGGGGAAAAACTGGGCTTGTATCTTCTCCTCCCCTCCCCCCTGTTTTTGCTTTATTCTCACCCATAAAGGACACCAGGAAGGTTTATTTAATAATAAAAAAAAAAACCCTACTCCTTCCCCCCCCCCCCGCTTGTTTTGAACCAAAAAAAGCCAGGCTTTTGCTATTGGATGACTTGAGTACTGATAGGATCTTTATATCACGGGTATTAAGGAATTGAGGTACTGGTTGAGGCCAGAAGTGGCTTTTATTCTCTTTTTTCAGAACACCTGTTTAACTAAAAAGTTTTAATGTACCTAGATCTAGGGGAACACTTCCTTTAAGATTTTGATGTGCCAGCCATGTTAATTAAGGGCTGAGAGCTCCCAATATACATTTCAGTCATTCAAAAAGTTCTCCAACAACAAAGGAAACATTTGTCTTGACTTTCCTGACACTTAAGGAGAAAACAAATAAAACCACCTCCTCCCCTTCTTGTGGGGGGGATTCAGACATTCTTTATACATTAAGAAGGGCACAAACTAGATTAGAGAGAGAAAAAATTTCCCTTTGCAGGTCACTTTGTCTAGAGTAGGATGAGGAAATTTTAAAATCCTTAAAAGATGGCATTTACCTACTTTTTGGTTACCTCATATGAATGTATTGTTTTTATTACAAAAAATCCAGAGTAATAAAAGCAAATTTCAAATACTTAGTGATCTTCTCTCTACAGTACAGTATTCTTGCTTTTGCTCTCTTCAGTGTTTGTCTCTAAATGTTCTCCTTTCCATTTTGTTTTACTTCAGTTGATTGTCCTTTATTCCTATTATTTAATTACTTCTATAGTATATGGACTTCTGTATTCTCTTAAAATTGACATGAGACAGCTGTTTCCTCTAGTCAGAGTCTTTCTGCATTTTACTTTTTGCTGCTATACATATTAGCTTATATTTTTAGAATTACCTTTGTAATTTTCAAGGATTCTCAAATAGTAATGTTGAGATAATGATCTGCAGCCCTCAGAGGGAATCATTTAATGGGAGGTATGCACTTCAGACTGCCAATCTTTTTCCAACTTGCTTAATTCATTATGCAATTATATACTTTAGCAAAACATTTAAAAAGTGACCATTCCTATAGGTTATCACAATTGTTCACTGAGGGGCCAGTTGTCCCAGTGCTCATACTGATGAGTGCCTTACTTCAACATGTGTAAACCATTAATGTCCATGGTTCAGCTTTACTACTAGGATGGGGAAATGCTTACTCCATTAAAGTCAGGGAGACTGCTCATGGAGTATGGGGCTGCTCAGGATGAGGGAGTGTATCAGAATCTGGCCCGGAATTATTTTGAAATACCTTTTTGTTTTTTTGTTTTTTGTATCGAATAATTGATTTTATTCAATTTTTTTTCTTTGGTATAATTTTTCTAGCGAAGGCATAATAAAGGACATGGAAGTCTGGGAATCTTCAGGACAGTGGATGTTCTCCTGTTATTCACCTATGAAAGAAAAACCGAACATCTCAGGTAGTAACTTCCCTAGTGTCATCATACACTTATTACCAAGAATGTTTCTCTCAAGGTGTTGCATTATATTTATTTTAGGGTCCA